TCACCATCAGGCTCCGAAATCACAGTTTGACTGTCAGTCAAAACAAAGTCAGTACTGTGGTACTCATTAAGTTGAGATTTGGAAGTAGGGTCCCGCTGTATATAACTCTTAATGGGAAGCCTTGGGAGAGGAGGGGTTGACATCACACCCTTTAAGGGCTGAGAAAAGAAGAAGAGGTTAAGTTTTCCAGTTATAGTGGCAATTATGACAGAAAATTGCTTTAGACATATTTTGGAACTACCTATTCACTGTACACTATAGATATTGTTTACTGATGTACTACAGCACTATATTGCTTTTTAATGTAAAATATGCTACCATGATCACAAATTCCTCAAACAAGCTTTATTTGTCACATACACAATCATACAGAGTGAAATGTTTTGCATCTGAGCTGCTGACAGGCTGCAGAAGTAGCCACACCATTCCAGGGCTTGGTTTTTAGCATGGGGGGGGTCTAACCAGGACCCTTACTTAATGGATACTGGGTGGGAATCGAACTTCCGACTCCCACTCCAAAGGTGTGTAGTGTTACCACTACATTATCAAGCTGCCTGAATATGTCATGGGACCTCTTTTATGACACAGTAGTTACTTTAACTAACTTTAACTTATAAATACTAGACTAGAGTACTTTCTGTACTGTGTGTGCAATGCTTGCGACATCAGACAAGGACTGGTCACACAATATTTTAAAGGGCAAGCTTTTTTAAAATCATACCTATTAACTTCTCATACCTGTTGGACATTTTTAGCGGATGGCAGAGGAGGTAGGTGGACAGCTTCATGGTGCCTTTGTTTCAGATCTTTTGGTTTGGATGACTGCTCAGAGGCTTTTAAGTGTTGGAGACTCGGTTTCGTAGGTCTCACAAGTCTCTTTGGCACAACCTACATTAAAGGTAAGCAAAAAACTGCATAAGCTCATAACAGTTTGATTCTTTTATGGATGTGAAAAGATTCATAACAATAGCTTGAATAACTTCCTAAAGAAAAGGCAGTGTGAATGCTGAAAGCTGAATGGTTTGAGTTGAACTGCTGTAATTATTGAATTATTTAAGGAACATGTTGAAGCTGTTGAAATATACTAAATCATTCCAAAGTGCAGAACTGGTGAAAGCCAAAGTTTGCACACAAAAATGTAGAAGAATGAGTGTTAATATTTCATCTGGATTTGATTAAAAAAACTCTAAGAGTGTACTGCTAAATATAGAAACACTGGCAGCCACCAGTACTACCCCTCAGCCTCCTAGTAAATGCAGCTATGACATACATCCTCAGTGACTTCCTTTTCAGTTATTGCATTCACATGATTTCAGAAAATAGGGCATGTTTATGCCTTTATTGGATAGCTCAGCAGTGAAAACAAACTGGGGGACAGGAACGTGGCCCAATGGTTGGACTTGACCTTGCGCCACTACACTCTGGCTATGTGGAATATGGTCACCTGTTCACCCACTGAGCTAAGCCTGCGGCCCCTTGTGCAGACAATGCAATTCCAAAAAGTGAAGCAATGCATAGTTGGATACAGTTTTAGCCTAGAAACCAGGCAGAATGAACCCCTTAAACTTAAACCCTTAATCCCAGGTGAATATTTGATAGTTTTGAGACGTTTACATTATCACTGTAAGATGCACCTTCTAAAAAAAACCCAAACAAACCAAATTAAATAAATTGTACAACACAATATTATGCAACAAATTGCAACAAAGGCCGGTGTAGCAAATATGATAGAAATTAAAGCTCATACATGCAAACTATATGCAATTAATAAAAAACCATTTGGTTTAATTTTGTCAATTACTTCATGGTTCAGGGTTGAAAGGATGAGTAAAAAAAAAACAAAACAACAAAACCTTTAGCAAAAAGACAGAAATCTGATGATCTTGCCTCCATGTCACTCAACGGCATTATCTCATAAAAAACTGAATGAACTACAACCAACATGTAATAAAAAAATAGTATAAAAGGGAAAACAAAAACTGACAGCAGTACCTATAATCACATAAAATATTTTGTTGAACAAGCTTAATAGCACTGCATTACAAAACTACTCTAGCAGCTAAATATCTATAAAAGCGGCAGAATGGAGAGCTGAAGATTGCAGATCGTTGGCTCTTGCAATTTTAATATTAGGCTTTTTTCATACATATTCTCGTCTAATACCTGTTGGTCAGTGGCATCTTTAGAGAATGGCTGAGAAGTTAG